CTATATTATGAAGAACCATATGATAGCAAAAACGGCTACATCTAATAATGACTCCATTCAACAATGTCAACCACCTGTACGCTACGGTTATATGTTACTCAAATAGAGGGGCCTATATATTAGGGGGCCATTTCTCACTAAATATCAATTCAAAAACTTCCTTAGAACAAAGCCTACTATATCATTTATCCATCGAATCATGAACACACCACTAGTAACTAGTTTTAAGAAGGATTTTCTTCAACTATATAACTCATCGACAATGCAATGCTAAAGTCTCTTGCGCAGCGCTATATTACAAAGTCGATGAATTATCCTAACCATACGGATATAATTGTTCGAATATAATGAACAGTTCGAAGCAAAATACGTTGTTGCATCATGCCATCAACTATTAGTTAACAAACAAATCATTCCAAGTATTAGCTTTCTGTTCAAGTATATAGTTCTCATCGCCTCTAAACAAATGCCACCTCCCACAAAGAAGCACCACACAACAACTATATGGTAATGACAACAGATCTATTCGCTTTTCCGCAAGTCCGAATCACAAATTAATCATTAGCATCGTGTTAGAGCATTACACTACCAGTGAGTCATCCTCAGCACTATCGTATTCAGTTATTTTACTCTCTAGCAATCGATGACAGTGAAACACAAGGTTGAACACTGCAAGACATAGGAATTATCATAAGGAAGCTTGTGTTCAATTATTTCATTGTGAAGCGATCACTAACATGAGAAAACGTAATCAAACACTGCAGAGGATATGAATTATCCTAACCACGGTCGTGTTCAACTATTTTCCGCGCAACGATCACCAACATTAGAAGACGTAACCAACCAGTGCAAGGCAGATGAATTATCCTAACCAAGGTCGTGTTCAATTACTTCATTGTGAAGCGATCACTAACATCAGAAGACCTAATCAAACAGTGTATGGCATATGAATTATTCGAATAAAGATCATGTTCATTTATTTCATTGTGAAGCGATCATTAACATCAGAAGATCTAATCAAACAGTGCATGGCATATGAATTATCCTAAGTAAGGTCATGTTCAATTATTTCATTGTAAAGCGATCACTAACATTAGAACACCTAATCAAACAGTGCAAGGCAGATGAATTATCCTAATTAAGGTCATGTTCAATTATTTCACTGTGAAGCGATCACTAACATCAGAAGACCTAATCAAACAGTGCATGGCATATGAATTATCCTAAAAAAGGTCATGTTCAATTATTTCATTGTGAAGCGATCACTAACATCAGAAGATGGAATCAAACAGTGCATGGCATATGACTTGTTGTAAACAGGGTTGTGTTCAATTATTTCATTGTGAAGCAATCACTAACATCAGAAGATGAAATCAAACAGTGCATGGCATATGACTTGTCGTAAGCAAGGTTGCATTCAATTATTTCATTGTGAAGCGACAATTAACATTAGAAGACCTCATCAAACAGTGCATGGCATATGAATTATTCGAATAAAGATCATGTTCAGTTATTTCATTGTGAAGCGATCACTAACATCAGAAGACCTCATCAAACAGTGCATGGCATATGAATTATCCTAAGTAAGGTCATGTTCAATTATTTCATTATAAAGCGATCACTAACATTAGAACACCTAATCAAACAGTGCAAGGCAGATGAATTATCCTAATTAAGGTCATGTTCAATTATTCCATTGTGAAGCGATCACTAACATCAGACGACCTAATCAAACAGTGTATGGCATATGAATTATCCTAAAGAAGGTCGTGTTCAATTATTTCATTGTGAAGCGATCATTAAAATTAGAAGACCTAATCAAACAGTGCATGGCATATGAATTATTCGAATAAAGATCATGTTCAATTATTTCAGTATGAAGCGATCACTAACATCAGAAGATGGAATCAAACAGTGCATGGGATATGAATTATTCGAATAAAGATCATGGTCAATTATTTCATTGTGAAGCGATCACTAACATCAGAAGACTTCATCAAACAGTGCATGGCATATGAATTATTCGAATGAAGATCATGTTCAATTATTTCATTGTGAAGCAATCATTAACATTAGAAGACCTAATCGAACAATGCATGGCATATGAATCATCCTAATCAAGGTCATGTTCATTTATTTCCTTGTGAAGCGATCATTAACATTAGAAGATCTAATCAAACAGTGCATAGCATATGAATTATTCTAACCATGGTGGTGTTCAATTATTTCATTGTGAAGCGATCACTAACATTAAAAGACCTAATCAAACAGTGCATGGCATATGAATTATCCTAAGGAAGGCGGTGTTCAATTATTTCATTGTGAAGTGATCATTAACATTAGAAGACCTAATCAAACAGTGCATGGCATATGAATTATCCTAATCAAGATCATGTTCAATTATTTCATTGTGAAGCAATCATTAACATTAGAAGACCCAATCGAACAGTGCATGGCATATGAATTGTCTTAAGGAAGGCGGTGTTCAATTATTTCATTGTGAAGTGATAATTAACATTAGAAGACCTAATCAAACAGTGTATGGCATATGAATTACCCTAAGTAAGGTCATATTCAATTATTTCATTGTAAAGCGATCATTAACATTAGAAGACCTAATCGAACAATGCATGGCATATGAATCATCCTAATCAAGGTCATGTTCATTTATTTCCTTGTGAAGCGATCATTAACATTAGAAGATCTAATCAAACAGTGCATGGCATATGAATTATTCTAACCATGGTGGTGTTCAATTATTTCATTGTGAAGCGATCACTAACATCAGAAGACCTCATCAAACAGTGCATGGCATATGAATTATCCTAAAGAAGGCCATGTTCAATTATTTCATTGTGAAGCGATCATTAACATTAGAAGACCTAATCAAACAGTGCATGGCATATGAATTGTCCTAAGAAAGGCGGTGTTCAATTATTTCATTGTGAAGTGATAATTAACATTAGAAGACCCAATCAAACAGTGCATGGTATATGAATTATCCTAAGTAAGGTCATGTTCAATTATTTCATTGTGAAGCGATCATTAACATTAAAGGACCTAATCAAACAGTGCATGGTATATGAATTATCCTAATTAAGGTCATGTTCAATTATTCCATTGTGAAGCGATTATTAACATTAAAAGACCTAATCAAACAGTGCATGGTATATGAATTATCCTAATCAAGGTCATGTTCAATTATTTCATTGTAAAGCGATCACTAACATTAGAAGACGTAATCAAACAGCGCATGGCATATGAATTATCCTAATTAAGGTCATGTTCAATTATTTCATTGTGAAGCGATCACTAACATTAAAAGACCTAATCAAACAGTGCATGGCATATGAATCATCCTAAAGACGGTCGTGTTCCATTATTTCATTGTGAAGCGATCACTAACATCAGAAGATGGAATCAAACAGTGCATGGCATATGAATTATCCTAAATAAGGTTGTGTTCAATTATTTCGTTTTGAAGCAATCACTCACATCAGAAGACCTAGTCAAACAGTGCATGGCATATGAATTATCCTAACCATGGTGGTGTTCAATTATGTTATTGGACAATGATTTCTAACATTAGAAGACGTAAACCAACAGTGCATGGCTTATGAATTATCCTAACCAATGTCGTGTTCTATTATTTCATTGTGAAGCGATCCGTAACATCAGAAGGCGTTATCAAAGAGTATGGGGCATATGAATTATTTGAACTAAGGCCGAGTTGATATATGTTATCATCAAGCTGCCTTTGAGAATAAAACTGGTGATTGAAGATTACATGACTGATGAATTATTTGAAGGATCTGTTCGCAGAAATGTGGTAATGAATGGAAAAGTTAGCTCGGCTGAGGTGAAAGAGTATGTTGAAGATATTGAATTAGCGAGACACCGTGCGGATTCAAATTGTCCGTTGACGTCTTGATGCGCTATTCATGAAGGGCATCTTCCATGTCTAGAGAATGCAAGCTTCTGTCAAAGGAGGCAGAGACTTATGAAAAAACTAGCTCTAATTAAAAGTCAGGTCGATTATACCCCCATTTTATAGAATTCTTGCTCTATTCTTAAAAACCACATTTTCTACTCTTGAAAGACCAACTTTACATACATTCCAAGGGATACTAAATGGTCAGTTCTACAGAGTGTTATCCAAGAGGGAACGCCGAAACCCAGAATCTCGATATCTTCTACATTCCTACCTTATCCTCGTTTTAGCATGCTATTCTCATAAGCCCGCCGTATACTCATATCCTGGCCATAACTCTTTTGGTCTTTTAATATATACTAGGCTTCAAAAATCTTAAACGCAATTGAATACTGGAAAGAAAATCAATTGAATAAAGAAGATTCCGCCGCCGATGTCAGAAATCGAGGCATGCCATCTAGTTGTTGGATGTCAAGACGATTGTGACAAGCATATAAGTTTCGTTTATTTGCTTTTGTGAAGCATGGTTGAAAATGGATGCTGCAGTATATAGCGAGAAAAGTGATACCACACCCTTCTCGCCTGCATCACAGACACGCAATAGACAGACTGATACAGTATTTCGGATTTTGCAACCACAAAATTAGTATTGAAATAAATAAGAATCCAAACAAACAATCATTTTAAAAAATAAATACTATGGCTCAAAAGAATTCAAAAAGGCATGTCCACATATCTTTGATGCTCTAGAACATTTTTTGTAATTCTTGTTTTCGAACATAATGGAGAGAATAATAGACGTGGTGAGGTTTGTTCATCATCGATAAATTGAATCCATCATGTTTCACGTTCTAATTCCATGAGGATTGCGCTGACAACTTTTATTAAAAAGACAACGAAAATCTAATGATTGAACCTAAATAATCTACTAGCATCACTCACTTTCAACTTTATCAAGCTAGCGGTAAGACGCACATAAAATTTTTCTTTCCTTCCACTCTTTCATACACATCGTTTGCACGCACTCTAAATTATACTATTCCATTCCACTCCTAAAAAAAACAAAAGAATGGACCTCCCACTTAATCTTGTAACCTTTTTCAATCGTTATTCTAAAGAAGAATTACATCAAATTGGTATTTCCATTATTCAATATTCGCAACAATTTGTTAACAAACAAAATCATGATATTCCACCATTGCAATCTCACCGTTCTTCAAACAATCCTTCTTCGATTATTCCACCGCCTTTAATGGATCAACAACCACAAATCATCTCCATTTTCTCACCCACTCAAAGTAGTCAAGTTGGTCAAGGTCGTCATAAAAACAGTGAAGATTTTTATTCAAAGACAACTCGTTTTAAAAATTATGTTCAAGCACCCAGCAATCAACAATTTCAACAACAAGCCAACGCAACCACCAACTTTACTCATCCCCGTCAACGCTTCAATATCAACACTCTTAAAAGGGCTGTGACAAACCACCTTCCAGCCTTTCATATCATGTTCGACCCGTCAATCGATATTAATAATATACCTTCAAGTACTCAAGTAGCAATCATGCTAAAAAAGGCTTTTATCGACAACAAATTACCTATTAAAGAATTATCACTATGTACATAAGCAGGTGATCATGGATTTAAATTTGCCGTACACAACAAAAGTGATTTTTTTAACTCTATTCAATTGATTTTGGCCTAAAGTTATTGCTGGCAATTCCGTTGAAGTAATAAAACCTCATCCATTACCTGACTGTTTATCGCTGGTGGTGCGCTATATTCCGAATGAAACCAAGGAGAATGCTGCAAGAGTTGAAATAATTATATCGATTCCTGCAGCAGTGGCATTTTCCAAAATTCATTGCTATTAACGTCAAGGGTTAGATTTAGTGTTCATGATCTCGAGAAATATAAAACTGCACTTCACTTAGTGCGTATAGCTATTGGTCAATATTATTTGCCTCTTTCCTTTTTTCTTCCTGGTCAACGATTAACTTATTGCACAGCTTGTTGGAAAATTGGTCATATGAGAAATAAATGTAATTCGCCCGCACGCTGCAGAAAATGCTTACAATGGAGGGGCGTGTATTGTAAGTTAAATTGATTGATCATGTTCGGGTCAATTGAATACTCACTGAGAAACTAATGAATTTAAAATATGAGCTGGGTGTGGGTGTGCCTGGACAGAGATATTCAATTTTTAAGTTATGCATTATTTGAGGTATAGAAACATGATAATATATGAACTAATCACATTAACTTTTTAGTATAATCATCAAATTTTTCAGGCAGTGAGCTTCCAAAATCTTGGTGAAACTTATTAACAATATTCAGACTTCTCTAGATACGACTTCTTCTGAAGTTTAATAGTACCAAATAGGAGATATATCGATTGTTATATATAGAAATCCGCCATTCATCCATATTTTCGAGTTTATTTTGCGTGAAAGTAATAAATTATACAAAATAATATTTCAAAAGATGTACTATAGATGGAGATGAAGATCTTCGATCAAATGACAATAACAAAGGTGTCTTTTGCACCAAGCGCAACTTAGAAGAGTTCGTTCTTCAAAACGAATAATTGAACAATAAAGGTCATAGAATTTAAAGCAAACATCCTCTGATTTGTTGATTTCATCCACTGTTTCGTTGAGTATTTTGGCTTGTACGAATCCAGACTTGATGAGATTTTTGAATTATGGAGCAGATAATTGATTGTGAATATTAGAATGCATATTTATAAAATATTGACGATCATTCAAGTTCATTTCTGTTCGGCTGATATAAATGTAATGCATGATTTTCTGGTGAAAATATTGCCATGAACGAAATAAAGATAAATTCTGAGGTTGAATATGATCAGTTGAACCTTCGCGAAAAATCAATAATTGACTGTCTTGATGTGGAAATACTGCTCTAAATTATTTTAGATCAGTTTGAGTTTTCCAACAATCAATGAAAAGGAGAAATTTTCTGCCAACCAAAGAACGTAGAACTTCATTTAAAAAAGTGCGATGCCTTTCATCGCTACTTTTTCCAGATTTTGAAGCTCGTACTACGACGTTTGGTGGTACGATTAAATCTTTTTGTATTTTTTTTACCGAATTCATTTTCTTTTTCTTGGAGAATGAAAAAAGAATGTCTCCAATAATTGACCATCAGCTGATGTAATAGATTGGACTGTATATGAGTGGGTTATATTCTTCTTCTTTTTAACAGAAACTTCTGTTATTCTTTCACCAGTAAAAGAAAGAGTTCTTGGAGAAATATATTCTTGTTGAAATGAACAATGATCACTGTTCAAAATTTGTTGGGAAGAATAATTCAAAATTAACGATCTTTAACTTTCAATCCAATTGTGAGCATCGAAAATATACGGATATCACAAATTAAGCAAATAGACCAGAATCTCAAGTAAAACTTGACGTATCTTTCAACTTACACATTTTTCTGGTGAAAGAAACTCATGTAATCAGTTTATTGTACCTTCTTGGTGAAATTCGATTTTCTCTCTTGAACATCGTGATAAATGTTCCACCTGCTTTGACATTTCCCTAGCTTAGTTCTCTTGCTTTTTGAATCGCAAAAACTTCTAGGTCACTATCATGAATTGCTTCTTTTTCAATTACTCTTTTAATATAAAACTCGTTCCACATAAAATCTTTGATATTTTTGAGAGTGGAGTATGGGTGTGGGTGTGCATGATTTCCCTCTTTACTCACACCCACACCCACACCCCCCTTCTCCGTTACAGGCACCCCCATTACCGACACCCCAACATTACAGACAGATCCCCATTACAGGCATCCACATTACAGACTTTAGCAATTAAGAACAACAGGCGTTAGACTTTCTAGTTTTCTTGAAAAAGCTGTTAGTGCAATCCTTTGCGGGATTAAAAATGTGAAACACGATGTAGCTGCTATACCCAATGTTCGAAAAGCTGTTGTTTTTTATGCATATTGGGGTGCATTCCTTCATAATAGTTTACCTTGCATTGTAGACTTTCAACAGGATAATATTCCATATGTGCTCCAGTCATATGTTACTTATGCATTATCTCTGATATTTCCTTGAAGCCTTCTGCCACAGTGTATAATGACCACCGAGCTCTGTCTGTCACGGTCTGTGGGGGAGGGGGGTGGGGCGGTGCAAATTTCTACCCCTAAACATTTCAAGACTCCTTTCAGATCGTGTTTCACGAAATGGATAAAGTTCTAATTTTGAAAGATGATCAACATCATTGTTTTTGAGCTGATTAATATATATAATAACGCATAAGATCTTCTGTAGATATCATGGATATATAAAAGAGATTTATTTACCAATTAATTCAATGATTATCATAATAAGAATGTTGAATTACGAAGAAAGAATTTAAAAAGTAAAAGATAATGAGTGAATAGCAACACTGCAAAATAAAAATAGAGCGCTCTCAAACAAAAAATTTTCTGATCTAAATGTGGAAATAAATAACAAAGTCTCGCTCTTGTCATTGATTATCGATGAAAACAACTACAGTGTACACGAAATTTTTCAGTTTACATATGATGCATTAGAATATTAAGGTTTAAGGATATATGTGAGTTCCACATTTCAGCTTCGAGGGAGCTGCGCTAATAAGCTTTTTTTCGACATTTTTCTTTTCGAAATTGGTAGGGTTAACCTTTTCGACTTCTACTAATGGCGTTGAGAAAACAGCCGGATCGTTTTCCGACGTTTCGTGCTGCAAAAATACACTGCTGTTGATCAACACCTCTTTGCTATTCTCAGTGGTATTTAAATCAGTGGCTTGTTTGTTTTTTATCATCTTACATCGTGATAATTTAATGTGCTTCTAGAAGTATTATATCATTTTTTATCGAGCTGCACAAGAACATCAAATGAATCAAAGATGCGAGGCTGTTCGAGTGAATGATCCAGTACAATCGTGAGTTTGAAATAGGCATGTTCGATGAGCGTTGCATTTGGTAGGCTGTGGTGACGTCTGGTTTTGTTTCCATTACTCACCCAGATGACAAATAATCAAGACACGCTACTTGCGTTGTTATGTGAAACCTGAACAGAAATCACATGTTTCGAAATTCATATTCTAAGATTTACTTGCACAAGTTTAACACCAGAGCCACTCTAAAATCTGTACGAGACTTTCCCGAAACAAGCGGATGTTCTCCTAATATGGTCTTTCTGAATCTGCTCGTAAAAATTTACGGCTAGTTCTCCGAAATATGACTCTTTATTAATTCAAACGCACACACATCTACTGAAAACATATTTCTGTCAGAACCGGTAGCCGTCCAACGATTTATATCACGAAAACTGGAACAGATCAGGTAATTCCATTATAAAAAACTACTTGAGAAAAATAATCAAGGTTGAAGATTTGATTTTTGGTACCTCAAGATTTTTGCAAGACGCCCGTATCCAAAACAAAATTTGCGTGTAAAGGTTATGACACGTTATAATTCTATATAGGTCCTATTTACGCAAAAGGACCAGCTCATAGTTACATTCACTTTACTATGAGATGTTCGACAGCAGCAATACTTTAGACCTTCACCGATGTAGTCTATGATGAGTTTTACTTTTTATCTTAGAATCTGATATCATCATCGATAGATGTTTCATTGCGTCAGCTTCCAGAAGAAACGATAGACATTTGAACAGTTCATGAGAAATCCAGAATATTTGTAACCTATGATACGTCATAAAAAATAGGTGTTAAAGATGAAATTATACTAAGCCTTGATGTTTTTTTCTCTCACTTGATATTGGTAAAAACATTCTGTTATATATTAAAAGATAAAAAATTTGAAGCTTTACAATATTGTTCACTTGGTTCTTCAAATAAGTTTTCCTTTTCCACACCAATTTGAAATTATATACATAAACTGAATCATTCAACGGTGACTTTCTATTTTTTGCTGATAAGTATTGATTAGTGGAAGCATTTTCTCATCAAAGCAGATGCTGCAAGTGAATTATTTAATACCAATGAGGAGTTTTATGCTCTATACTTTGACGGATTTTTCAAGGATCTTTATGGTGTGCCATAGAAAGCAAATGCTTGGAGCCAACACTCTTCAGCAGTTTTCGGTGCAATTCGGGAAACCATGTTTTCAAAAGCTCGAAATCGCTCTAAAAAGGTTTATTATTGGGCTATTAGATGTAGAATTTGATTTTAAATGAAATGATTTACCTACTAGACTCAGTAGTAAAAACTCAAAGACTGCTCAGAATTGCAAAAGAAGAGTTGTGCAAGTATGATATAAACGGTTTTCTTCGATACTCTCTGTTTTTTATTTTAAAACGGTTTATTCCAAATATTTCACGTAAAATTCCAAGACATGCTTCCAGAGATGTATAATTTGATGGAGAACTTTTTTGCATTCTTGAAATATCAGTGGAACCTCTCGTAAAAAAACTTCTGATAAATTTTGGATTGTTGGCCAGCGCAGCTATGTAATTGAATGAATGTTTATCGTTTAAAACTCGCCCTAACAAAGAAAACTTGTTTGAAAAACCAGATGGACAGTTTTGTAGATCTTCAAATTCTCTCTCTCTTTTTTTGATACATCACCAAAATGTTTTTATGAATGGCAAGTGAGAGAAAAAGAACAC